GTTGAGTTCGCACTAGAGAAGCTCTTGCGTTTGCGCCCTGCAAGCTTGCTGGCTTCTGCACCGTTTGACAAGGCCGTCGGGGGGTTTCCTGCTTGGACAGCCTGTTGGACCTCTTTTTGTAGCCGTTTACTTTCCTTTGTCGCTCTCAGTATCGCCTCAAGTTCCTCTTCTGTTCTCTGTTTTCTAGCTTGTTCCGCTCGGATTGTCTCCGCAAAGAGCTGTCGTCTGGTTTTCGCCCGACGATTCAAAGCACTGGTCCATGCGCGGGTTCGCCAGAGATACCCAAACTTGCGCGCGAGGATACGTTCACGAACAGATACTGGCCAACACAGTCAGCAGAGTCTCCACACCACAACAGAGCTTGTGCCTTACCAATGGCAGCGTCGCGCACTTCTAGTCGATGTTGGTTGAAGGCGGTAGTCACAAGATCACGTAGGGTGAATTCGAGGTAGCTGTCAAGCAATCCCCTCTGTTGTGTCAATGCAATTCTGGCGATATTTCCTGCAAGCTTGTTTCGGTCTGTTTGAGTGAAGACTGGCTTGGGTGGGGGCTGACGAGGAGAACAAGGAGGAGTAGTGCTGCGATGAGGATGATCGTTCAAGGTTGAACTCGGAGTCACTGTTGTTTTATCAGGTTGCTGGCTTGAGAGCTGGTTCTCGGAGGTCGTGGCTGGAGTTGTCGCAGTTGGGAAATTGAATTTCTGCAAAGGAGGCTTCAGAATAGGATCAGGAGTCGATGATGGTCGGGGCTGAAGAGAAGAACCCGCGGCACCGGATTTAAAGAAGGGACTTTGGGTCGGCTCTAAGGACGAGACTGCTGGAGTTATGGTCGATGGAGAACGCCCCTCCGACTCTGATGTTGACTGGGCGAGGACTGGTTGGGATGTAGGACTCTCGACGGATGTGCGAGATGGTGAAGCGGCTGGGCCTCCAGATACTTGTACAGACGTCGCAGAAGGGGAAGACGATTGTGTGAACGAAGCGAATGGAGACGGTGTTGACACTGGAGCCGTCACTGGGGTGTTCGCTATTCAGAACCACAGTATCAGTAACGACCTCAATTATAGTACGGTGACACAAAGGTGAATTTTCCTTACCTGGCTTGACTGGTGGCGCGAGAGATACTGTCGATGGTGGCGCTGATAGCTGGCCAAAGGCTGGCGCAGGAGGAGTGACGGACGAGGTTGAAGATGTCAAAGGGACGAAAGACTGTTGGCCAAAATTGTATGTAGGCGCAGGTGCGGCAAGTCCATCACCTTGTAAGCCAGTAGATGCTTCTTGAACCTTAGCCGTGAATCCGCCCAAGCTGAAAGGTTTGTTTTCTTCCTGTGCTGGTGGCGGGGGCTGTCCAAACGTTGCGGCAGGTGGTGTCTTGGATGGCGTGAATCCAGCAAAGCCGAACGTCGATGTTTGCTGTTGTTGAGTAAGAGTCGATTTGGCAAAAGTTCCTGTAGAAGTAGTCGAGGTTGATGGGTCGAGGGATCCAAAGCCACCGGTTTTCAATGGCTTCCCAAACGGAGACTGGTTTGTTGGCTTGGTGGAAGAACCGATGTTGAACGAGCCAGAAGAACCAAACCCGGAGAGCGCCGGCGGCTTGTTCAAACTCGATGAGGCAGGACTCTGTCCAAACGTCGGTGCGAAGGGGGCGGCCTGAGGATTGAGAGAAGCGCCAAAGAATGACGAAGCTGCAGATGTCGAAGTTGTCTTCGCCTCCGGAACGAACATGCTTTGGTCGTCCTCCCTGGTATCATCTGCAGGGCGGACATCCTCCTCTTCAGGCTCAACCCAACCCTGACGAAGTGCTTCTGCGACGGTCGTTCCATTGATGATGGAGGTCAGTGTTCGGCGGTACCGTTTCCGTTCCACGAAGCTGTGCGAAAAGACCTGGCGTCGCGGGATCGAGGACGCTAGACAGACATCAGTACTCCACGACGAAGAATTGTTGGAGGGTGAAAGGACGCACGATCGAGCGACTGAGCGCTGTTCGCCGTCGCGTCAAGATACTCCTCGCCGCTCTCATCCGTAGCAAAGTAGAGATCGAAAGCGGCACAGAAGTCCTTGGTCTCTTCATCAGCATCAAAGCCGAGGAAGTTGGTAACTTCGCCCAGTGTCCAATCTCGAGACTTTGCTTGTTGGGCCTGAGGGCCTTTCTTGCATGAGCGCCACAATGCATCCAGGGCAACAAAACGGACTTCGGCGAAATAAATCTCAGCCAGGCATGCCATGATATAGGGCACGGCGTCCGAGGCCAAGAGGCTCCAAAAGCTCCCTGTTTTGCCCTGAGCGACAGCGAAAGATTCCCACGGTTGCAGAGGCCCTTGGCCGAGTAGCGAGTTGCCTGCCGCCCTGTACAGCTTGAGCGCCGTCTGAACTCTCTTGTCTCTGAGAAGACCAACAGGCCATGATTGCATGCGGTCTTCCAAGTCCGGTCTTTCAGGGGCCTGGATTTCAAAGATCACAAGATAAGCGCGAAACTCTCCTTCATTGGGAAAGTCAATCCGGCCTCGATGGTCATCGTAATAGTAGATCAAAGACAAAAGGGTGTTGTTCAGCTGTTCCCTCTCTTGGTAGGTGTCGAAATTCTCTCCGTCCAGCAAATTGTCGGGGTTTGAGAGCTGGTGCAACGACAGGATATGGAATCTCGCTATTCGCTCGAAACAATCGACGGCAAGCTTGACGTCCTCGACGTTGGTGACCTGTTGGATCGAGAAGTCGTTGCGGATTCCTCGTGTTCGATCCCAGACGAACTTGTGGACGGTCGCCAATCGTTCACCACCAATAACTTTGTCGAGGAGATAGTCCAGCGTCCGTTTCAAAGTCTCGGGCGTTCGGATATCGGAAGGCAGCTGCTCGTCGTAGCCAGCAGCTGATCGGCGAAATCGTTTGACCATGCGTTCTTCCGCAGGCATGTCCTTGCCAGTTTCTTCGTTCCGCACCTACCCATACCTTCAGTATACCGGCCTAGCAGCGAACGAGCACAATATTCACCTTCTCCGCCTTGTCAACCATGTTCTGTACTATACGTTCCACTCTTTCAAACTCTGGGCACATCTCCGTGCACGTTCCGACCGGGGTGATGGCTTTGTCCAGGCTGGTCTTCTTCTCAGGATCGGCGAGAAATCCATCGCGAATCGCTTTCGCCCTCTCCTCTTCCCGGCTTTGCTTTAGCTATATGAAGGTCTCGCACGTTAGAAGCCTATAAACGTAGTCATGGTCAGCGAAACAAGGATCGGGATCGCAACGCACCGCTTGGAATTTGTTATAAGCCAAGTTCATAAAGTCTCGGTGGGAAGCAGGCGCCGGAGAAGCTGCTCGAGAGCCAGGGTTGGATGTTTGAGCTTTGGTCGCGTTGAATGTCTGCGACAAGTTGGCAAATCCGTGACCACGCCCTCGAGAGCCATTCGCAACACCGCGTCCTGACGCACGTTAGCATTGTCTTGGTGTGTCGCTAAGCCAGCGGTTACGATGGATTCACCTCTTCCAGTGCCCGAGGAGGCATTTTCATCGCCTCTTTTGATTGTTCCCGCACGCAATCGCTGCAGTAGCCCTGCGCCATTGGTATTTGTAGCACCTGTGATCGCGCCTCCACCTGCGCCTCTGCCTCGTCCTCGCACCGTGGTAGATCCACGAGTGCTACCGCGCCCTCGGGTCGATTGAGATGGAGTCCCTCGTCCACCTCTGGTCGAACTGCCACCGCGTTGTCCGCGGGTGGACGGCGGCGCAGACATGGGCGCAAGAGCGGTGGATCAACATCAGAGGATCGTCATGTCAAAGCAGAAGGAGATTGAGGAAATCGAGGCGAGTAGCAAAGGGAGGACGAAACTCGAGATGACGAGGGATCTATGCCCGCTTCGGAACGGTGGCGATGGAACTATCGAGAGAGACAAGCCCAGAATGTAAGGCACAGGCGATATGGATAGTGAGAACTCGCACTTCTTATCGTCGTTGCAGTTGCTGTCGCGTGGGCGTGAAAAGCAAAGGTGAGTAGCAAACCGAAAGAGATACAATGAAAGGGTGACAGCGCGCTCTGTCCGCGAACAGTGAAATCCAAGACGCCGCGGATGCCTACTGTCGCCTATTGGTTGGATCCCGCAGGTGCCCTCGTTAGCATCACTACCAACAGCCTCGCCCCCCAAGCCCCTCCCCTGGCCTCCGAATCCATGCCTGGCGATGACCTTTGGGCTACGTACTGTGCGTGCCTAGACACCCACCCAGATCAAACCGTCCGCCACACTCAATATCAACATCATCTCACTTGCCAGCCATGCTCGGCCTTTACCACGAAACCAATTTAGTCTCATGCAGGGAATCCCAGATATTATATATGCATTCATTTGACATGGTTAGCTACCCAATATCTTGACTCGTATCTCATCTACATTGACCCGAGAAAGATCCCACGCAAATGCTCACATTCATTATGAGAACGCCACACAAGCTGTTCGATGAGCTCGACCAAGATATCAAATCAAAGCAAGTCAAAAGCGCAAAGCAATCGCGATTGAGAGAGACCGAAACCCTGTTTCCAAAACACTGCCCAACAAACAACCGCTTGTGACTTTGTCTGGCCAATCCTGCTGTGACAAATTTGATGGTCACTGTCTTCCGCCCGCCATGACCAAGGCGCCGCCCTGACGACCGACTCATTACCTCGCCCCCAAACTTTTTGCTGTGGTTTTTCTCCAAAATAAGGAGCTGCTGTGATTCTTTTCCCTATCCAGAAATGGCAGAAAACGCGGCCAATCAATGTAACGAGACAAAGAACGCAATCCGAAACAAAGAAGATCAAGATCGCCAGACGATAAAACGACCAAAAAGCTCACAAGGAAATTCGTGTGACAGTGTGTCATGAATAGTGGCCAAGAGTGATGAAGCGGTCCATGACGATATTCTGTGATATAAGAGCGGCGACAAGTCTGCTCGACATAGGATGTGTCGACTCATAATTTGGAGACGGCATCGAATCGACAACGAGGCCCGGATGACTGGGTTTGAGAAAAATTACCAATGATTAGCCTTGTAGCAACGGTCCGTCATCATCTCCATGCTGATGTCTGGCGTTGGGATCATGGCAGATTGCTGTGTTTCTGCCGCTCGCAGTGGCAGAGCACGTCGGTGGGGGTCCCCAAACTCGTGGTATAGCATGGGATTCACCACGGTCGGCGCCAGTCCATTCTGGATAGTGTTGGCCATATCGAGCGTCTCTTGCGTAAAATATCCGTTTCTCAAGCCAACCGATTGTGGCACCATATTAGAGTGAATAGCGAACATGTCGGGAGGTGGGTCTGGCACCATGTCTGGCATCATCCCCGTCCAGGCTGGAGTGTGAAGGTTTCCAGTGAGATGACCGCTATGCGCCGCAGGATGCATCATGGAGTTGGGCCCAGGATGGTTGTCGAGATTGCGCCCAAACACATTGGGATGTACCGGGTGGATTCCAGCCAGGGGCAGCATGACACCTTCGGTATGTGTCATCAAATTCTCCATACCCATTTTCATCCCAGGAGAAAAGTCCGGTCCTGTCCGCGGCGCAATCACTGATACCACTCGATTCCCATTGAAGCTTGGTCGAGGTCGACGTGGTGCATTACGGCGATTGCCGGCGTCCTTGGACGTCGAGCCTCGGGATTTGTTGGCCATGAGCCGCCCGTCTGAGGTGGGCTGATCACTGGGAGATAGTTGCGCAGAGGACCCCGGCGTTGGTGCATGCTCTTCGCCTCCCTCGAGGGAGCCTTCACTGGATGCCACAGGGACAGAGCCGATCCATCGAAGCCCGTCATCATCAGAGTCGATCGCGGACAATTTTGAACTGGTGGCATCACTGTAATCGCAAACAAAGACGAGGGTGTCACCATCTGACGATATCAGTGCTGCACCCGTGCTTCACTATGACTCTCAAGAGACCTACCTATCTCGTTGGCCTCGTACTGCTCTTGTTTCTCTCGCGCATTCACAATCTGTTGAATGATATCCCACCGGTCTTCTCGCAACTCGTTTCGCTTTGTCTGAAGGGACTCTAGCAGGTCTCGAGCCCTTACAAACTGCTGCTTCGCTCCTTCAGACGGAGGGTTGGTGATGACTCGCTGTGGGGTGTGCGCGATCAAATGGACAAGCAACCGGGTTCTCTCTGTGGAGCTTCAGCGTGGGACCTCTCTCGTGGACTTGCACAAAGCTTACCATTGCGACCGATATGGTCGGGCTCTCGATGGATGACGTCTAGGAAGATATTAGATCCCTGGATATCGCGACCACATACAAAAAGCCCCGTCGTGTCCGAAGAGAGTTGCATAACATACCAGCCGGCCAATAGGGTGGCCTAGTCCGATCCGGATCAGGGGGTTCGCCACGGGGCATTTGGCCATTGTATGGATGTGTCGATTGCTGGAATCTTCAGTCATTCTTCCCTATACAGAATGTCTTTGGAGCGGTCATCTAACCTTCTTGGGATGGATCCTCTTGATCCAGACCTTGGCTACCAGCCGACAAGCCACCTGTTGCAGTGTCAAGAAGGCCTTTCCATACCACTGGGCTAACTTCTCGTGGTCGTCCACGCGGATTTGAGATGCAGGAGCTTCCCAGAGTCTCGCGCCCCCACCAATCTGCTGAGGCTTCGATCGTGATGAGTTTCTTGAGCAGATGTTGGTTTTTGATCTGTGTCGCTTCAGCGGACGCTGTGCGGGCCAAGTGATTGCGCCGCCCGGTGTTCCAGCACCTGTCGGGGGCTCTGGCTTCGAAGGCCTTTCACTGGGATGGTTGCCACCCCAGCAATGGTCTGGTCGAGTCAGTACTACCATGAGCCGCGTGGGAAGATCACATACCGGGAACGCTGGGGCCGCGCATCGACATGTATTGACCAAAGGTCAGATGAGCCTCCCCAATGATCGCCCATCTGTCCTTTCTGAGGTTGGGGGAAACTATAACCTCAGGGACCCCATGTGGGCCAGGCACCAGGCCGATGAAATCTTCGCAGTCTCCGACGAGTTTCTTGATTTCATTCTGCATAGGATGTTAACTCGACTTCTCGCCTCTATCATTCCTTGAGGCATGGCTCACTATCAAGTATTGCTGCTTAGCTTCTTTGCTGAGACTGGAGACTGCGACGCCAACTGTTTTTGGATCTTCTGGTGGTGTGGCCGAGAGCTTTTCTAGAGGAGATCGAGGGGAGGATTCGAAGTTCACTTCGTGTGTCATTTTCAATGCGAAGGATCAATCCACAGTGCTGGATGACTGGGTTACGGTAAGTGGAGAAAGAGTACTCGACATTCGAGGAGCTGTCTAAGCAGAGTTGACTCTAACGGGAAGCGCATAATTGTTAGCGATTGTGACCCGAGCCGGAAGCCTGGGCCCTCATGTATACAATGACAAGACGAAGCCCCGACCAGTGCAGCCTAGGAGCCTAGACGCAAGAGTTTGTAGCGGTGTGCCTGTGGAGGGGAAGGGGAGGACAGGGAGCAACAGAGTGAAAATGGGGGGAGGGCTAGTGTGCCCGCGTTCGCCAGATTCTAACGATTCACCACATGCTCGAACAAGACCATCAAGAGCGACTAGGCCTTGATGGGCAAGGCGTTTGCTGTGCGGCTGGTGCGGCTAAGTTAGAGCCAAACCCAGTCGTCCTGTATGCCTGGGGAACCCCGAGCTAATTGCTGGGGGCATTCCCCACTGCCCGCCGTTCATGGAGACGGATCGTCAGTTCCTCGACATCCGCCAGCGTCAAAGAGGACGACATGCGCATCATCGCACTTATCTCGGGCGAACAACACATGGTGAACAGAGAGATGGAAACACCACGAACCTTTTCTTCGCCTTTTTGGCCGGTACGGTCCTCGATCACGACGAGAAAGATATGATGCTGTGGTGGCTTTGGCGCCAGGATAGAAGGCGCAATCTCGAACTGTCTTTGGGTCGTGTGAGTGTCCAATGTATCTGTCGCCCCGCTGTATGCACCACAAAAGTAATAACAACAAAACCACCACACAAAAACGACGAAAACAGAGACAAGGCCGGCCAGCGAGATGGTAGGGGACGGGTTCCCGGCTCTAAACAGTCATCCGGGAGCTGCAATTGCCGCGGGCTATATTCGAGTCGGACAGTATGTGCTTCGGAGTGAAGATGGGCGTATGGAAGAGCTTCAGACGACGGAGGATTTCGAGTCGTTTCTCAATGAGCGAAGTCTTTGAGGAGAGTGGGCTTGAATGAACAGGGCGAACAAGAGAGAGAGAGGGGTGACGGCCCAGCGATTTGCGTCAATCGGTTTCTTTGGGGGTTGTTTGCTTGAATTTGCTTTCTCGACCGTCTAGGCTTGAGGCGTGGATAACGGCAGGGACTGAGCTGCAGGACGGCCTGACCAGCTGGGTACAAATCAAAGAGTCTAAGGAAAGGAAGAGGAAACCGAGTTCCCCGGAGTGGTCCAGACGAAGATGTATATGCGATTGCCAATCGGACGACGCCATGCAAGCAGCCAATGGGCAAGGAGGGGGTTCAGAGAGAGTTAAGATAGAATGGGGCATATGTTCGTGGAGCGAGACTGAAGAGAGGGGAGGGAGAGGTGGGTGGGTGGGGTGGATAATAGCGGACGTGGTGGTGTTGGTCTGTCAGTGAGCGACAGCTCCCATTGTAGAGGGAAGATACCAAGTCTCGAGAATGGCGGCAGCTGTCAGAAGAAATGTTGCAACCAGAAGTCCATCTCGTTCCAAAGGCTTGTGTTTCCGCACAGAGGAGGGAGAAGTGAGAAGGAGGAGGGAGGAAGGAGGGGAGAGTTGACTTTTGTCGGGCTTGTCCCTCGTTGCACCTGTCCGTCACGTTCTGGGTCACGGTTTGGTTTGGGCCTGTCTTCCCTTAGGATCGAGGTGCCTCTTTTGGCTGGACAAGTACTCGGTACAAGGCTCTCAGTTGTCTCCGACGAGGGTCCCTTCTGTTCAGCATGGACGCAGACCTCAGCCTAAAATCTTGTCTGTAGGGGAAAATGGGCTTTTCTGGCGAAATCGGGAGGGTTGGGGTTAACGGATTTGGCGCTCTGGGGCAAAAACGGCCCGTTAAGGGACTGCAGGGGGATCCCATGCATTGAGTCGCCGTCAAGGGCTTGTGCTTTGATGGTCCAGGCGAGTCAGACAAGCGACGGCAGCACGATTCCGGCCTGTGCCAGGCAGAAATGGGCATGGGCCAGGTCTGGGTAACGGGAAAAAAAGGGAGCTAGCAGGTGGTAGAGAGGTGACCCAACGAGCAGGGGTGAGTAGTAGTGGCTGCGGACCATCTACGAGTCGCAGAGAAGGGAGAAAAAGGTCCCGGCAGTTGGCAACAAACTGCACTGGCCTTATCGCCTCAAGTCAGTAGCTCCGCTTCAGCACCCCGTCTTCATGCGCAACCATCATGCAACACCATTGCTACTAGCAGCAGCTTCAGCAGCCCCAGGGAGCTCTCTTCGAGTATCTGTTTCCTGCTCTGGCGAATTTCGAGTTCCCTCCCCTCTTGGTAGCCTGCCCCTTCTGTACTACTTCTCGGCAAACTAATACGCTAAGGCATTCCTTCTGTCCCACCGCAAGCTGCGAATTGCCCTTACCATATCGAAAGCGGTCGATCGATCAATTGTCCAATCAGGCCGATTCCGGCTCCAGCAGTCCTGAACGTGTCCGAGAGTCTGCTGTCTGGACATCGTTCGGCTTAGTCGCCCCCTTAGCTAGCTAATGTCGTGGGCCAGAGCTCTTCCTCCTCCCCAGCACAAGCAAACTGCAGAGACGATGCTGTCACATTTCCCTTTTCCGAAACCTCCAGCACTTGACCAGCCCTGGCGACCGGCTTGACGGGAGCTGCCGAGCGGTTAGAAGACAAGAGCCCCAGACCTTGACAAGAGACTGCCCCTGGCTTCTGTTTGAATCTTGTCGTCTCCCCTCGACCCCCACCAGCTTCTGTCATCGATTGTCGACCAGGGCTAGTCCACTGGACAAGTGGAGGCCAGAGCGTTAGCCACCTTCCTCCAGGGCAAGGGCAGTTCGATCTGGACCTTAGCAAGCCTATTGCGTAGCTAGTACCGAGTACTGAAAGCTCAAACCTCTGCGGAGTGTTCCTTGGCAATCACTGGCTGCAGCCGTGGTCCAGTCCAAACACGCCCTCGCATCTCGGGTTCATCTCCTTCTCAAACGGCCAAGATCCTAAAACTTGCAGCCGTCCGGAGGCGGGGAAAGTGACCACAGCGCAGATAGTTGCCTTTGCGTACAACAGGATGGCAGCCCAAGCATTGTCTCCGGCTACGAGCTGCCCTGGGGGGTCGTCGTGGCACTGCCTGACGTCGCGCTTCATCTCCGTCCTGTGGCGGCTTGTGCGTCAATCGTGGAGACCATCAAGAGCTCGAGGCTGTGAAAGGTGGTCCAAAGCAAACACGGGAAGAGTGGAAGCCTTATTTCGATCGAAGTCCCTTACACCCAAATGACGAATATCTGGCCAAACTGCAAAGCTAGTGTACGTAAGTACGCCACGGGATGCCCGCAAGCCTTGTCTTCCAACAAGGATCTTTTCTTCCGCTGCCATGCCCGACACCTTCTCCTTCAGTTCAGAGGCCACAGAGGGGCTGAACATGGTTCAACTTGATCACTTGCACTGGCGCTTGATTGCCTCGAGACCCCTCGCCACACCTGGTCGGTCTCTCTGCCCATCCTCGGCGACTCGCCACCGAAGGAAACTCGCCTCCACACCTGGATTTGTTATTCATGCAGCTGGTGCAACCGTACAACTACAATCTGGACACAAGCGCTATTAATAGGTAACAGGTACACTGATCTCAGAGAAAAGAATGATACAGCTCGAGGTACCTGTACCAGTAGGACGGAAATCACCGTATCTGAGAGCGCCTTGCTTCGTCCAGCACGGATCCGAGTATTTTGTCCAACCCTATACGATTCTAACTTTTCGCCCTTGTGACACCTTTGGCGCCCACCTGTACGACCATGAAAGTAGTTGTCAAGAAGACGGGGTTTGCCTAGCCGGAGGAGAGCCTCCAACAATTACCGCGGCACCTGACCGAAACCCGGTTTCTTTTGGTTTTGTTTTTTTTGCCAGTGAGTTACACAGCATCAACTAGCCGGTGAGGCTGGCCATCCAAGTGTTCACTGAGCTGCCCGGCATGCATGCCCCCGGTTCTTATTGGGTGGACCACACAAGCTGTGCGATCTTTCAATCTCGCTCTGACCCCCGAAAGCATCTGCTCATCACACCCAAACCTGTCGCTGGTGCGATGGGCAGCTTCCCCCCTCGAAAGCTGCCCATCGGCACAAGTGCTGTGGAGCAGGGAAGTGAATCGGCAAGCCTTGGAGCCCAGGGTCTCAGCGTTGCTTTATCGCCTGAGATCGCGCGTCATCACTTGGCAAGGGATGCTGGTACCTTGAGGACGGGGGAGAGAGCATTCGTTCCCCGTCCGATGGTTGCTTCAAGCACTTGTTGTCAAGCTCTCAGGGCTGTGCTAATGCTGGTCTGCATTCGCAGTACCATTGCCGAACCCGTCAAGCAGCCCAGCTTCACGCACAAGCTCGTAGAATAGGCCCCGCTTCCTGATCAACTCTTCTGGGGTGTCAAACTCCGCTACCCGCCCTTGTTGCAGCACTACAATACGATCCGAGTCCAGGATGGTATTGATGCGATGTGCAATGGTGATGATGGTGCGGTTCTGGAAAATGGTGCTTCGAAGCGTGGCCTGAAGCATTCTGTCTGTCTCCACATCCACCGCTGCTGTTGCCTCATCCAGCACCAGGATATTGCTGGGTGTGAGTAGCGCCCGCGCCAGGGAGACTAGTTGACGCTGGCCTTGACTTAGATTGGAACCTGCAACCAAAATTCTCGTGATCAGAGCATGCTCCAAAAAAAAAAAAAAAACGAATACTACATGTGCACGGCGTTCACTTTGGTGAAGGACGGAGTGGCGGAACTCACCAGCTTCGAGAATGGCGGCGTTCAATTGGCCTGGCATGCTTGAGACATGCTCCTTGAGACGAGCGTGTTCGAGCACACTCCACAGTTCGGTGTCATCATGCACATGGCGCGGGTCCAAATTATCACGAATCGTGCCTTCGAATAACGCGGCGTCTTGAGGGATAATGGCAAGCCGCCGTCGCAGATCTAGCAACCCAATCGTTGAAGTATTGAGCCCGTCGATACTGCAATAGAATGGATTAGCTCAGCACTTCCTCGCCTAACCTCGAGAATCC